CCAATTTTAAAATTGCAAACCAACCTTTGAATTCAAATTGTAGGCAATGGCCTGTAATTTCACAAATTGCACAATAGGCCCTACCCCATATACCTCACCTGATTAAAAAACCATAGAAAAAATTATGGGATGACGCTCGCTGGCGCCGTCCCTCGACAGCAGGTAAAAGCACATCGCTTCGCCTTTTACATTTGCTATTAATGTCGCTACTACAACGAAGGTGATGATCGACTGCGCAGCGCACGACTATCGCGAGTCGCAGGGAACGAGTACACCGTGCGTTACAGTGTGCTGGCACGCGATGCAACCTGCCCGTGGTGGCACTGCACACGCTGCCTCCTTATTCGGCGATGGTTTGCTGCCGCCAATCACCGTTGTCGCCTATAGCTACCTTTCGACCCATTTTCGACCAAAAAAAATATTTTCTATTCAAGAACAGATTTTAGAAAATGAAAATAATTTTCTTTAAAAGCTTGAAACATGAAATTAAGCAATCAACCACTGATTGTTCTCAAAGTTCAAAACAATTTCTAATAAACACAAAGTAGATTTTGATACCACCGTTGAAAATTTACTTAGTCACTGACAACAAAAAATAAAATATATTTCAATTCTCGTCAATAATCTGCTTTTGTATTTAGCTAGAAACTGTGACAGAAAATATATCTTTGTTGAATTTTACAAACTTATTTGTATATCTTGAATATGAACAATCACGATCTGCAATTCATAGCTATCCAATTGTCCAACTTTCAATGAAAATCCACACAGGGAACAAAAATGACAGAATTATGATTTTTTTTTGTGCTAGTAAGCATATGAATCGTGTTCCATAATAATTTTTCAAACCCTAACAGCTTATTAATAAAAGTTAAAGTGAACTTAGCCTATTTCTTAAACTTAAATCGGTCCATTTTTTTAATTAATCCTATTAATTAAATTTGGTATGTGAATTAATTAAGCAATTAATTAATTCGAGCCCATTAACAAACAACTCAATTAATTAATTGTCTAACATTTGTTAATTAATTAATTGATGAATCTCATTTTTGTAGTTCTCATTTTGTGTGTAATCCATTAGATTCCCGATCACGATACCTAACGACGTGAATTATTATTTTGATCAAAATCTATAAATTAAAATACTCATTTTTAATTTATCATCAACTCACATTCATCGTCTCGGATTGACATATAACAATATGTTAGGGCAATACATATGACGAAAAATATCACGTGGTATGACTAAATCAAATTTGTTCGTTTATCGTGAAATCATAATCCTTTCGTCAATATGATCCGATCAATTACGAGATATGGATGTGTGTCAATCTCAAATATCGATCTTATTTTTCATCCCACTATTAAGTCAATTTAAGTCGAAAACTATTTTCGACTTATGAGTACACTTTGCCAAGGATTTCGTTATCAACTTAATTGAATAAATGTAGATCATAATCTCTTACTATCTAAGAGTGACGAATTCTCTATTTATCATTCACAACTTTCATATGAATTTTGACATACCTAAGCGATGCTATATTAGCGACTATTAGCAAAGCAACATCCAATATCACCAAAATATGACTATGATAACCTTAAGTCGAAAGACCAATATCACTACCGAATGTTGGAGATTAACTAGTGACACTCAAATAGTTTATTCGTGTGGAATCTCCCCCAACGGGTCTCCAATATTTTGTTCTATAACAAAATATTCACGTGTTCATTTAAGTGTCACCACACTTTAACTTGTGCGATAAGCTACCCACTTCAAAAGTAAAATGCTACACGATATCCATATTTCATTATTACTTACGACTATGGATAATTCAAAATTCAGCCATATGTAATTTTGTCTCTCACAATCATAACTAATTTTGATTAACAAGTTACTAAGATTTGAATCTTTTGAATTCTATTATTTAATTTATTAGAATATTAACTCAATTACATCATAGATATTGCCATACATGCATCAATTCTATATATTTAAAGTGTTTATGT